CATATTTCATGTGATATGATATGATGAGTAACTATGAACTTAATATGTTTCTTCACCTCCACAAGATCTATCTTACAAGTATGTTGTTGTCATTTCTTGGTGGATGTAGAAAACAAAAAAAAAAAAATTTGATTTAGATGGTCTACTGGATCAAATTATCTCACGCGAAAAAAGAAGTAAATTTGTTAGTCTTGTTATACAACCTTTAGAATTTGTAGAAGTTGCTAAATTAAAAATTTTAAAAAAACCAAAAAAAAAAAAAACAACAGAAGCATTAAAACATTAGCACTTACATACATTAGCAATTATGAAACAACTGTCGCCAAAATCCATAAATGAGTTTAGTTATACATTCTTAAACAATAGCCATGAATCATTTTTTTTTCTGATTTTTCTACTGTTTATTTTGACTGCTAATCTAATTGATATTTCTCATTTTGTTCGTTTTTGGTGCTGCCCATATCCATATTTGATTGAAGCTGCAATCATCTTTTTTTCCCCCTTTCACATTTTATAATGTATTGCTAATGGCAATTTGGCCATCTGGAAAAAAATCACTACTTACTTTAAAAAATGGTCGTGGCAAATTACAAAGCCATCAGGCCCTCAGCTGAATGCATCTCTAGTTGTTAATCATTGGTGCTATCTTCCCTCGATAAAGTTTCAAAAGATGAAGGTAAAGTTTTCCAATAGTCCCACCACCCTGCCTCTCAGCTGAATGCATCTCTAATTTTTACTCATTTCTTCGCTAAAATTTCTGGGATTGATTTACTCAATATGCAACATATACTCATATAGTCAGTCAACAAATTTTTGCAAAATTGCTGCAACGTTTGATTGTGCTTCTGAGATCCATTATGAGAAAAACAAATATGTGCTTACTGACATTGCACAACACAACAGGGCTAAAAAACAAATCAAACTATTTAGTACTTGAATTGAGTTCAGTTTGATAAAAATTTGTTCAAGTTTGATGTGCTAACATCAAACCAAATTTGAACAGTATTTTACAGTTGGCAAATATTAAAGCTCAGTTCAAACTTAGCTCGATTAACATAGAACTAAACTTTATAGGTAAAATACTCCAGTTCGATGAAACCTCGACTCGGGTTTGGTTGGACGCTAGAATATTCGATTTAATTAAACTCATTTAGACCCCTAGCATAGCATGCTTGTTCCACGTTAGAGTAACCTGTAATTACATAAGCGTGCAAAGGAAAATTTAAGAGCAAACTACAATGCAGCAATCTGCAAGTCCAAACGTAGTCTTCTATTTGATCCATGGGTCCGCCAAATATAATGGCAGAGGCTCATTTGTATTGTATGGGGTCACCAGCAGCATCGTCGCTGATAAAGTTTCAAGTGAAAGAAGGAAAAGTTTTGAGATATTATCCCTAGAACGCCCCGCCATCTTTCCTCAACACACACGCAAAAAAAGGGAAAATAGAGTCTTGATTTCAAAAAAATAAATAAATGAGAGAGAGAGAGAGAGAGAGAGAGAGAGAGTGTGTGTGTGTGTGTGTGTGTGTGTGTGTGTTGACAATGACATATTGCTCTTCTCAAATAATAAGAAAGTTGTATATCATAAGAATGATTTAGAAATTTAACATTTGGTATGTGTGTATATGTGTGTGATGTGAAATTAATGGTGATGGGCATTAATTAATACACCTAAATAACATCTAATTTAAGGCTCGTTTAGATATCAAAAAGTACTTCACCTAATAAGCCTTTTAATAAAAGCACTTATTAAGTGTTTAAGTACTTTTAAATATATTGTTTGAATACATAACTCAATAAGTACTTATTGTATTGGATAATGTGTCCTTTGAAAATTTTTCAATGTATTTATCTCTTTGTTTAGTTCATAATATAGGATAACATGATTAAATTTATTGTTTTATTTTTTAAAATGCAATAGTTGTTATAAAAGTTTCAAATTTGAACTTTTGCTAAAAGTGCCCTATAAGTGCTTTTAATACCAAATGCTTCACTTCTAATTTTATGGGATGATATTTACCAAATGCCCAAAAGTACTTTTAATAGCCAAAAGTGTTTTTAAACTAAAAGTACCTCAACCTCAAATGAGCCCTTAGTGCGTGAGTACACACAATTATAATTCATATAGTGCTATATTTAGACACCTTTCCAATTTGATTACACTTTTTTGGAAAACTAGAACGTGAGGCCCCTCTTAATGAGAGCCCACTAGGTATCAATTAGCCAAACCGTACTATTATATATAATTACATGGCTAGAAAACCAGATATATACATAAAAAAAAAAAGTTATAGCACCTTGTAGTTGCTCAATTGATCTTTACCAAATAATGTTGTAGAAAATACTCAAATGTGACAAATTCTCTTATGCTCATACCTCAAGCTCTTCTCTCTCTCTCTCTCTCTCTCTCTCACCTTTTTTTTCCAAGAAGTTTTGTTTTAATAGTTAATATTAAGACTCCAAAACACAGAAGTCCTATGTTTCAATCCCCCTTTCCCTTCTCACTTCTTAAATCCCACCCGTCTCCTACTTTTTTTTTTTTAAAAAAAAGCTCTCCTATTTTTTGTCATCCCAATTTTCTAGTTGTTTCCTCGCGTTGTCCACTAGGCAACAAATATGGTCATTTATGGTTTTTTCACTTCAATTCCACATTTTAATTTGCTATTTTACTTTTCATTTTTTCCTTTTCGTAAGCACATTTCTATCCTTAATATAACTATTAAAACTCCTATTTGTGTTTCATGGACTGACACGAGTGTACTTGCCATAGTCTAGATTATTGTGACAAATGAATAAAGAGTATCTCTCAAAATGCAGCATAAATTTAAATGAATTATTGTAAAAAAGAATTATGATATTGATGTGAAAAAAAGGATGCTAATTCAAGCATAAACAAAGAAAGAATAGTCCAGGAATACACATATTTCCATTTTCACATACACATTAAAGACGGAAACAATATACATATAAGTTGCGAGGCTTTATAAGACCAATCACCAATGTTATAACAAGCATAATATTTTGCTTCTACCTATAATATGACACTAATCATGGTTAATCTGAAATCATCTGGGAAATCACTATTTTAAGAAAATGGTTAGTAATGTTATGTACTTATCCATTAAGTTCCAAGCAAAAGCCAACAGCTTCTTGGGCTTAACAGTTTAGGGGTGGGAGGTCAAGAGTTCAACCCTTACCTCCTACCATATACTTGCCACTTAATTGTAGCTGTCACTTTCAAGTGACTTTCTCTAATGGGATTTTCCGTTGACTCTCCCTCCATCTAGACTAGGTTAGAATATGTTATACAAGTGTTATCATTAGGACCAAAAAAAAAAAAAAAGGTTTTTACATATGCAGGGAGGATCCTATTGAAAAAAAAAATTATGGACTGATTAGAGACTAGTAAAGGTCATGTATATTGCATTCTCATGTAATGTTAGATTTTGAACACTTTCTTAAGTATTTCCTCAATTTAAAATTTTATTCCTAAAAGCTTATTGACATTGTTCTTTAGTTTCCGAAAGTGCTTCTAGAAAAGCTTCCTTACAATCATAACAATCATGTTGAATAAGAAACTGATATGCTATTCTACTTTAGTTTCCAAATGTATTTCCAAAGAAGTTTCTAAAACTTTTCTCCAAACAATTTATTTTCGCACTATTGCTCAAGAAAATTAAGGAAATCTTCATATTTGTTTATGCAATTAATTGACTGCTTAAAGAAATTTGTAAAACTTCTTTCCATACTATTGCTCAGGAAACTTAAGGAGATCTCCGTATTTGTTTATGCATTTAATTGACTACCAATGTAATCTCTGAAACTTCTTTCCGAACATTTACTTTCCACACTTCTCCTAAGGAAATTAAGAAAATTTCCTTCAATAGAATTTATATTTCTAAGCTAAAAACTCATTGTTAGGGTTTCATAAATAGTCTTAACAACATAAGAAAGGATATTCATATTTGGAAGTAGAACAAAGATATTGAAATCTATAGCGAGCGTATTTTCGGAATAGAAATCTAACACACCAATTCTGTATTGCAAACTTGCCCTTATAGAGTATAGATATAGAAGGATAGATGTATTCCAATTCATGGAACTTTCTGTTCATCGATATTGTATGTTAAAAGAATAACTGATTTTAATTGAAGAAAATTGTGTAATGGCAGCCGTGGATCATGCAAAATGTCCTTTTTTAGTTTAGCAAATAAACTCAAGATCTTTATTTGAAAAGACTTAAATGAAAATCAGGTCGATTGGATTTTGACCTCTGGTGCCCATTTGCTTCCGACTTATTCTAGTATTTACTTTGAACCCCAAGCCGGCTAATCTCATTGATGTTTAATATGGTTTTATTCATTTTTTGTCCTGTACATTGATTGAATATTGTAGTGCTGCAGATTGATTGGCAATAATATGATTGCTAATGGCAATTTGCCCATCTTAAAATGCAGTATACTCTTTGAATTGCTCGTTCAATTTTCTTCAGTTTTTCCACCAAAAAGCAGTAAAGAAAATCACTACTAACTTTAAAAAGGTTGTGGTAAAAGGTATTTGTTGCGAATTTGCAACTTATAAAAGCCTTCAGTCCCTTAGTTGTATACAACCCTAATTTTTTAAAAATTTGTTAATCAATATTTCTGAGAATGATTAACTTAATATGCATCATATCCTCGTATAGTAATTCCGACAAAAAACAAGAACCACCGCCCCCCCCCCCGGGGGACACACACAGAGACATAGAGAAAAAAGAAAACAGAGAGTCTCGACTCTTGACAGCAACGTGTGACTATCATTGTTGGATCATAAGAAAGTTGTAGATCTTGAATATCAATAGCTAAACAGAAAAAAATCTGATATCAAAGTGAAAAGCAGGTACCATGATGAAAATCTCCTCGGGTAGTAGCACTAGTTGCTTCGATTCTGCTTTAGATCATCTGGACTGGATAAACAAGACGGTCAAGTTTCGGCTCTATTTTGATATCTGGAAACTGAAGATGGGGATAAGCCTATTGAAAACCTTTGATCTCTATATTAGAAGATGTAGGAGGAGGAGGAGCAATCAGCTTGTGTGCTTGGAATACGATAAGGAGGAAAATGGTGATGCTAAATCTGACAGTTTGAGACTTAGCAGTATTTCATTCAGGATTCAAGATCTGGTTAGGGGGATAACACATGGACTTGACTCTGCCTTTTTTAGATATATTCAGTCTAGTGCATCAGATCATAGTGACATCAAACCTGAGCTCGCCAGATTCGAGGAAAATATGTGGTTGTTTTTTGATTCAGATATCAAGGAATTCAACATTATCAGTTTGTTGCTCTACCACACGCTGGGAGATTTACAACTTGTTATGGATTTCATTGATTCCATTTCAGAGAATCTGAGGCATCTTTGCAGTGAAAATTACAATGCTGATGTAGGTCTGAAATTTGTAATGCGAACCCTTCAAAAGAAGCTAATGCACTTGAAGAGTTTCATTCACTTTGCGACACTACAAGGTGTTGAGGGTGTACAATTAAAAGATCTGTTGGTTCACATTGAAGCTGTGGCTGTCAATGCTGCAACCCTAATCTGCAGATCTTGGTTTCAAAGACATGATGAACAAGTGTGCAATGAGATGGAATCTGAAATTTCTCAACTGATACACAAGAAGATTGATCCTGTTGATCCCCAAGTCCGAGAAACTTATATCCATGTCTTGGTAGCTTCCAAGTTATCAAGATCATCCTATACTTTAGCTATGAAGGAGAATAAGCATTTAGTGGCTGAATTTATTGATTATCTCCTGCATAGTCTGATGGAGCTATTACAATCTTATACCCGTTTCCTGGTTCCAGTGAAGGATCAAATGCTAAAACTTCATGAGGGAGTAAGATTCCTGATCATCCTTCTTAGCCGGCAGCAGGAGAAGTTCGATGAGCTAAATGATGAGATGAAGAATCTCATTGGAGTTGTGGTCTCTGATGCAGGGATAGTGATTTTCTCCCTTTCTGCCAATGAAATGAAAGATGACTTGCTCAAGGAAACAGATCTGATGCTTTCACATTTGCTTGAAGTGTTCAAGTTGATCATTGTAGAAGTTGGACACATTTATCCACTACCATCTTCATCACTTAGTTTCCCTAGGACTAACGAGCTCGGCTGTCTTGATTTTCTTCTAGAAGCTCTCAAGGAACTAGCAAGTTCTACTGCTGATTCAATTGATTTCCCAAATGATCAAATATGCACTATCCTAGAAGATCTTGTATTCTTACGATCTTTCCTAGGAAATGTTGTGGAGCAGCGTAACCAGAATGGAAAACTCCAAGAACTTTGGAGTCGTGTCGTGAAGGTTGCATACAGTGTAGAATTAGAAATTGACTCTGCACTGCTTGATGATAGACACGTACATTGTTTGGATGCTGTTGCTCAAGATATCAAGCTCATGAAGATTGAGGCTGAAGAGATCTGTGATAGCATAAGATATGATGGTGAAACCCTGAGAGGTGCCAAGACTAACATTCACATGCCAACACAAGTTACTGCTTCAACATTTAATGAAGCTTTGGTAGGACGTAAAGATGAGGTAGAAAGTATAATTGATAGACTTATGAGAGGATCAAGCCAGTTAGATGTTGTTGCTGTTGTGGGTATGCCTGGGCTTGGTAAGACCACATTAGCCAGTAAAGTTTACAGTGATCGTTCAATAAAGTTCCACTTCCACATTCGTGCTTGGTGTACTGTTTCTCAAGTATATAGCAAGAACAATTTGTTACTACAGATTCTGTGTTATTGATTCTAGGAGTTCTGATCAGTATCATAAGATGAGTGAAGATGATTTGGCCGAAAAGCTGTACCAGCAATTGAAAGGGAAGAGGTTTGTCATTGTTTTGGATGATGTTTGGGACATTGATGGCTGGAATTTGTTGAAACACTCTTTGCCAGATGATTGCAATGGAAGTAGGGTACTCTTAACGAGCAGAATTCAGAATTTGTCTTTGCAAATTAAACCTAATAGCAAGCCTCACCACCTTCGCTCGCTCACTAATAAAGAGAGTTTGGAACTGTTGCAGAAGAAGCTATTTGCCAAAGAAGATTGTCCTCCAGCATTAAGTGAAGTTGTGCAGTGCATAGCAAGATATTGTAAGGGCCTACCTCTTGCAGTTGTCCTTGTTGCTGGAATTCTTGCTACTACTCAGCAAGACTGCTGGGAAGAAGTCACAAGACGCCTAAGTTCCACCATTTTTGTGGACAACAAACACTGCATGGAGACACTTGAGCACAGTTATAATTATTTACCGGATTATTTGAAGCCATGTCTTCTTTACTTGGGTGCATTTCAAGAAGACAGAGACATTCTGGTTCCAAAGCTGTTATGGCTTTGGATCTCTGAAGGATTTGTGCAAAAGACAGAAGGAAAAAGTTTAGAGGATGTTGCGGACAAGTATTTGATGGATCTGATTGGGAGAAGTTTAGTTATGCCTACACAACGAAGATCTTTAGGTGGGATCAAAATTTGCCAAATTCATGATTTGGTACATGAGTTTTGTGTGGTGAAAGCAAAAGAAGAAAATTTTCTACAGATTTTAAATGTGGATGACCTTCATACTTTTAATGGACCGTGTAATCCCCATCGGCTGTCTATTTACCCTAGCACCAGTGAGGGACCTATAAAGTCAAGGCTATTTTTTCCAAATTTGCGTAGTTTGCTCTTCTTTAACTGCGATTATAGACAGCAGCTGGACGGAAGCTCACTCAAATTTCTGTTATCTAAACTTCTTAGAGTGTTGGATTTGGGGGAGACTGTTTGTCCGTATTTTCCAAGGGAAGTGTTATTCCTTGTTCACTTGCGGTACCTGAGGATTAAAGGGAACTTTGGAGAAATCCCATCTGCAATAGCCAACCTCTCAAGGTTAGAAACTTTGGCTGTAGGAGGATTCTTGGGTCGTAATTTTCTGTTACCGAACGCTATCTGGAACATTAAAACATTAAAGCATCTTGTCGTTTTCCCAGATTATGGAAGTAGTGGTTTCAAATTTCCCATGGACAATCTTGAAGGCTCCCCAGATTTAGAACACTTAGAGACTTTATCCCTTGTAATCGATCCCTCTTCTCAAAGTCAAAGCTTGCAAAAGATACTCTCAAAGTTACCGATCATCCGCAGGCTAACGTGCGTGAATGGGAATCGCAATTGGAATTCTAAATACCACGCATCTGCTGGAAATCACGATGGGATTCTCGTGCTGGATTACTTGAGTCGTTTAGAATCACTTAAGATGGGTCGATTTTCCGGATATGAGTTTGAATTCCCATTTAATTTGAGAAAGTTGACTCTTTTACAGAATCGTCAACCATGGAGTAAAATTTCAGCAATTGGAAAGCTGCCCAACCTTGAAGTGCTTAAATTATGCCCTGTTTCCTTTGTGGGGGAAAAATGGGAAATGCAAGAAGGGGAGTTCCAAAACCTCCGATACTTGAAATTGTTTGGCTTGGACATTAGCTGGTGGACTGCATCTTGTGATAATTTTTGCTGTCTTGAGAAATTGGTTTTGGAGAATTGTTTTAGCCTGGAAGAGGTCCCCTCTTGTTTAGGGGAAACCCTTACTCTTGACATGATTACGGTGAAATGGTGTCATGAGTCTGCCGTAAATTGTGTGAAGCAAATTCAGCAAGAGCAGATGGATATGGGAAACAAGGATCTGAAGATCGTTATTGAACAAGAAAATTGATGACGGTCCATGGTTTCTTCTTAGTGCGAACCGAGAAAGAGAGTCGGTTTCCTCTCATCACATTTTTTGCAGCGGGTGCTGTTGATGTATCTTCTTGAATGGGCAGAGACCCAAAAGCAGGGCAGGTTCCGCTTATCAGGTTAGATATACTGTTTGTCTATCAGTTCAATTCTATAACTTTTCATGTTTGTCAATCCAGTTTCTGGAGCTTCCCAATTCTTTGATTCGATTAGTCAAGCATTTATGAATTCAACATAATCTATCAAACACGTTTTGAAACTATTCCGCTGTTCTTATTCCCTTCAATATTTCATAACGTTTATGATCAATTATCCCAATTTCCAAAATTTTTCTTCAACATGGCTACAGATTTGTGTGATCCTTACAACCAGCTGAGCACAAGCATATACATTCCAGGTATACTTTTTTATTCCTGTTTTGTATTCCAGTGAGAAAACTAATTTTCTTTCTTTTTTTTTTTCAAATCAAATAGCGGATTGACCTGACACTTTCTTTTTCCTTTTTTTCCTATTTATTTTGAAATGCCAAAAATGCGGTATGCTATTGGAGCCTTTTTGTATAGAATATGTGAGTATTAACTTCTCCGAGGTTGGTAAACATAGGGATTTTGAAATTTGTTCTTTTTTTTTTTGACCTGACAGCAGATGTGTGAGTTTGTTCCTCCTTGTAACTATTTTTCCAGAGTTTTGTTATGGTGTGTCTCCGTAACTTCACCAAAATTATCCACAAAAATTGACAAGGTCGATTGATCCCACTAAATTAGCATTCTTTTGTTTTTTAGGGTAAAGTACAAAAAAAACTCCCTGTAGTTTGCCGAATATTCAATTTAATTCTCTTTGATTTGGAAACTTACACTATATCTCCTTATAGTTTCAACTAAATTGGAAATTAGATGGAAAGCATCCAATCTAACAGTTGTACGTGAAATATCAATATTGCCCCTGCTATATATGAAATGTTTTCCATTCAATTTTCAATTTAGTCAAAACCGCAGGGAGCTATAGTGTAGTTTTTCAAATTAAAGGGAGTTAAATTGAGCATTTAGCAAACCACAGAGAGTTCATTTATACTGGGCAATATCGACATTTCACATACAACTGTTAGATTGAACACTTTCTGTCCAATTTTCAATTTAATTGAAATAGCAAGGAGTTATAGTGTAAACTTCCAAGTCAGAAGAAGTTAAATTGAACATTAAATAAATCACAGGGAGTTTTTTGGTATTTTACACTTTTTTTTTTTTAATGAATATTCCATGCCCAAATCCTAAGTGTCCCCAACCTTGAGCCTTGCTTATGACTATTATGTTTCTCTTTTGCTTTCCATTTTACCTCCACCATCTTCTCCCTATACCCTTTTTTTTTTTTCTCGAAACGTTAGATTACTTGTATTGATCTAAAAGATGACTTTACAATTCAAGCAACGGCTCGTCAAGCTGTACAACTTGTGTTCAGCAACACAGAGGAAAAGATCCTTCCTCATCCATCAAAATACCTAAGGCATATGAGCTAACATTAGCAATAGTGTTACTATTATCATTACTATCTAAGCAAAAAGAGCACATTCGAAACAATGACATTAAGCAAAAAATATCCTCTAGGATCGTTGCCAGTCTGCCATCCGATGATTTACCATGCTTGATTTGTCTCAGCACTTCCTTGTTTTGGAGTTGTATTCGGACATTGCACCATCCTTTTTCCAGCGCTTTGCACAAGACTAGTCTGACTGCTGAAGCTACATCCGTATTCTTGTTTCCGTAGCTTCTGTCCTTTAATGTTGCATCATGTGACATTGTGTTGATAGCAACTCCAATACCCAACAAAGTAGGTCTCAATAAGCTCGTTGTTGTCACTCTCAGCCTTATCAAATCCTGGTCCTCTATACCTCATGTTCCCCCTCCAGGTCTGGCATTGTTTCTGTTGTACTTTGATCAGGTTCCTTCCTATTTACTTCCTCCATCTCCAACCATTCTTTATGTGCTTTTTGAATAACACAGCCTGGTTGGTGTCTACCTTGGTTCTCAAATTCCCTCTTGTTCCTTTTTTTCCAAATGTGCCATAAGATGTTTGCAGTGAGTCCAATATGGCTGTTACCCTCTTGCCTTGTTTTAGCTTCTGTGATCCTGCTCCACCACCTTGTGAAGTTGCATCTCTGGTTTTTTGCTCCATCCCACATAACTGGAGCTACTTTCCAGACATCGTTTGCTAAGGGGCATTGCAAAAGTGCGTGTTCTATCATTTCTAGCTCCTCTTCGCATCCCTTGCACACTGGATCCCCAATTGCAGCTTTCCTGTGGCTTGCCTCTCTGACTGGTAGCGCTCCATTAATACACTTCCAGATAAACACCTTAACTTTGTGTTTAATGTTGAGCGTCCACAATGTATTCCAAATTTGCTTGCTTTGATTACTGCCTGCATCAAAACTAGTTCCAACAGATTCCTGTCCTTTATTGCTACCTGATCTCTCATCTAAGAACCTTTTGTAACCAGATCTCACTATATACTCGCCTCTTTCACTATGTTTCCAGTAGTTGGAATCTGCTCTACCTGCAAGACTAATTGGAATACTGAGAATCCTCTATGCATCAGTCTTGTTGAACAATCTAAATATTACATTTGTGTTCCATCTACTTTGGTTGATTAGCTGATGTACAAAAACAAGCTCACAGTTTGGGGGTCTTGGAGTTGTAGGCAGACCTAATGGAGAAGTTGGTATCCATTTATGCTCCCATATGTTTGTGCCTCTCCCATTGCCAATTCTCCTCCTTATTCCTTCTTCCACAATCCCTCTGACTTCCATCAGTCCTTTCCAAAACCAAGACACATTACCCTAAACTTTACAAGTAAAAATTGATTCCTTTGGGAAATACTTGGCTTTCAATACTTTGCTGACTAGGAGGTTTGGTTTGGTGATTAATCTCCAAACCTGTTTTCCTAGTAGAGCTTTGTTGAAAGCTTCTAGACCCTTAAATCCCAAGCCACCTTCCTGTCGATCCTGAGCCATTCTCCTCCAAGATATCCAGTGCATTTTGTTTTTGCCATTAGTTTCCCCCTACCAATAGTTGGCCATAGCTGAGTTGATATCCTTAAGGAGTTTCCTAGGCAGCTTGAAACAAGACATAACATAGGTTGGCATAGCCATTGTGACTGCTTTGAGCATGACTTCCTTTCCAGCAGGACTTAGCAATTTATTCTTCCAACTTTCCAGCCTCATCTTTATATTATCTCTTATGTAGCAAAAAATCTGCTCCTTTGTTCTTGAAATAACCATAGGAAGACCAAGATATTTCCCTTGCTTCACTTCTGCCATTCCTCCTAAAGCACTACAAATCTCCTGTTTCTGTCTGCATGTCAAATTTTTGCTAAAAAACACTGATGATTTCTCCAGATTGATTAGCTGTCCTGAGACCTGTTCATAATCTTGGAGAATCTTCATGAGTTTCTTAGCTTGTTGCACATCAGCTCTACAGAATATAAGAGAATCATCCGCAAAAAAGAGGTGAGTTATGCTTGGACCTTGTCTACTGATCTTCAGGCCTTTCAGATTTTTGCTTTCTACTGATCTTTGGAGTAGATTTGAGAAGCCTTCTGAGCAGATAAAAAATAGGTAAGGTGAGAGGGGATCTCCCTACCTTATTCCTCTTCCTGGCTTTACAAAGCCTTTGACTTCCCCATTGCAGTTGAAAGAGTAAGAGACAGTCTCCAAGCATCTTGATATCCAGCTTACCCATTTATCACAGAACCCCATTCTTGTCATCATGTCTCTAATAAAATGTCATTCAACTCTATCGTAAGCTTTAGCCATGTCTAGCTTGATAGCTATATATCCTTCTTTCCCTTGCCTTTTGTTTTTCAGATATTGCATATATTTCTGAGCAATGATCACATTATCTAAGATTTGTCTATCTGGTATGAAGGCAGATTGATTTTTACAAATGCACTTGTCAAGAACAGGTTTCAGTCTGTTTGCCAAAATTTTTGATATGATTTTATACAAGACACTACACAGACTGATTGGTCTATAGTTTTTCAAGCTAATTGGATTTAGAATTTTTGGAATGAGGGAGACAACTGTATGGTTAATAGATTTAAGCTTGCAGCCAGTCACAAAGAAATCTTGGACAGCTTGAACCACATCATTTTTAATCACTTTCCAAAATTTTTGGAAGAACAATGGAGTCATTCCATCCATTCCAGGGGCTTTATCTGGATTCATGGAAAAAACAGCAGTCCTGATTTCCTCCTCATGCATTGGTTTTGTCAATTTGGAGTTCATTTCCTTAGTAATAAAGTGTGGGATACCCCTTAGTACCTCTAAGTTATCTTCTTTTCCTCTACTGGTAAAAAGGCTCCTATAGAACATGGAAATCTCAGAAATTAGATCTTCATTATTTTTTGTCCAAGTACCATCCTCTCTTTGAACATTACAGATTCTGTTCTTATTTCTCCTCCCTCTCACATGAGCATGAAAAAAACTAGTGCTCTTGTCTCCTTCTCTTAGCTAGTTCACTCTAGCTTTTTGGCTTCAAAAAGATTCCTCCTGTTTATATGCCTCTTTGAGCTGTTCCTTAAGGTCAGATCTGATCATCCTTTTGTTCCCCACATTTGACACATTCAAGCTCTCTAACCTATACTCTTAATGTCATTGATTCTTACTTTGGAGTTTGCCTAGAAAGTGTTTTTCCATTTTAGGAGATCAATCCTGCAATTCTTCACTTTCCTGGTCACTCGAAACATTTTAGTTCCTTGTTCCTCCTTGTTTCAAGCTTTCTCAATAACTTGTTGTATACCTTCCTTTTGAATCCATCTCTTATCAAAGTAAAAGCGTTTCCTCTTTTTCCTTTTATCAGGTTCAGTATCCAGCAAAAACAGGCTGTGGTCAGAATCAAAGGACTCTATGTGTTGACAGACTACTCCTTTAAACTTTTGAATCCAATCACAACTACTAAGGCATCTATCAAGTCTTTCCCTAACCTCCCCAACATTGTCCCAGAGATTACTCCAGGTCCAAGGATGTCCCTCGAAACCTATGTCTACTAGCCTATTCTCAGCAATGTAATCCTTAAACGCCTTAAAGCTCCTTTCCTCTCTCATTAAGCCCCCCCATTTCTCTTCATTTGACACTATGTCATTGAAGTCTCCTGCTATCACAAAATTCTCCCCCCACAGTTTCCTTCTAGCATTCAGGACTTTCCACTGTTGTTTTCTGATTTGAGCATCACAGCTTGCATACACTCCTATGAACCACCATTCATCTTAAGTTTCTCTCCCCCCTATCTTAGCTTCTATGGTGAAGGCAGTTTGTAGGGTAGATAAGACTTTGACATCATCTCTCCACAGAAGGCACATGCCCCCTAATCTATTCATGGCCTCAGTAACCACACTATGTTCAAACCTAAGCAAAATTTTAACTTTATCCATATACTTCTCCCTATTCTTGGTTTCACTAAGGAAAATCAAACCTGGAGAGAGGAGGTTGTTAACCTCCCTCAAGTGGGGAATTGTCAAGGAGCTCCCTACTCCTTGACAATTCCACACCACAATCCTCATATTTCCTTGGGGGCCCCATTAGGGAAGGACCCCACCTCCACCTAATCAGTTTCTAGCACAACCATCATTTCAAAGGATTTTGATTTTTTCCCCTTTTGATTTTCACTGTCTTCCTCCTCCATATCGTCATCCTTCAGACAAACTTTCCTCTTCCCCAATCTTGTTTGATTACTCCCTTGTTTCTCTTAAGGGTCTTCTAGTTTTGATGGGAGAGAGCACCTTTCTAGTCAACCTTTTAGTTTGCTTATTGATTGCCTCTTGGACTCTTTCAGAAACGTTACTAGTCTCCTGTCTCATTCCTTCTCTCTCGTGTTCTATCTCTAAAGATCCAGACATATCATCAAAAGAAGTTGCTACTGTTTTATCCTCCTCCATCTCAGCAATTCCTTCCATTGACACGTTCGCAGCATTTTCTATTCTCTTTTTTTCCATCTGTTCAACTTGTATTCCATCATCTTGTACTGGAAGATCCTGCTGATTTTAGGAGCTGTCTATCTGCACTAGGCTTTGAGGGTGGGGGGCTTGATCAGTAACTATCCTCATCCCATTCAAGTCTCTAGCTAGATCTTGGTGGTCATTATTAGTCCTCACCACAGGTCTACGTAGCTCCTGTTGGTTCTTTTCAAACAGATTCGTCGAATGAGTTTTTTCAACCAATTCCCCATTCTCAAACTTCCAATACCGTTTATCTGTATCCAGATCTTTTTTTTTTTTTTTTTGCTTTTTCTATGGTGATCCTTTAAAATTCCCTGCCCTCATCCAAGGACCATGCTGATTATCTGCATATTCCCTTGCAATTTCTTGCTGATTGGTGCATGTCCTCTCCCCATGACCAACCAGACCACAGTTATAACAGAAATCTGGGCATCTTTCGTACTTGAAAACTACCCATTTCATGGTACCTTCAGTCTTCACTATGGTGCCTCTTAGCAGGGGTTTTGCCAAGTCTACTAAGGCCAACATTTTCAAATGTCTACCCTCCTTTCCTCCCGTCTGTGGTATTATAACATCCTTTACTTGTCTGAATACACCCCCAATCTTACGGCCTACTTCTCTGATCACCCAATGTACAGGTAAATTCCAAACTTGTACCCACAAATAGGCTAGCTTAAAGGCCTCCAAATTCCCTTCTATACCTTCCTCCCACCTATTCAGAACCAAAATTTGGTTATCTATCACCCATGGGCCTCCGTCCACTATCCTCTCTTTTTCCTGTGAATTAGGTATGTTACACTGGAAAAGATTCGGTCCCAGTTCTAAGACAGACAAGTGTTTAGGATAACCACAGGCTATAGAAACAAAATTTTTTACTCCTGTGTAACTAGCAATCTTTTCACCCATAACTCTTCCTATTATGATGTCCTTACATTCTCTGACTCCACTCTCTAGATCCCCTAAGTCCAGAATAGCTCCTGAGAGTTCATTTCCAGCTAGAGAGAACTTTTGCATCATCTCATTCAGTTCCATCTCAATCGATACAAACAGAGGTACTAAGGGGTTAAAAATCACTCTAGAAAAAAAAAACAAAGAAAATGACACCCACCAGACGCAACTGAGAAAGTCTACAGAGATGCTAGAGGTTCAGAATGCCGAGTAAAAGGAGCTCTCAGCTTCTGACCCCAGCTGATAGTAACTTTGGAAAACAAAGCAAAAACAGAGTCGGAGGTGAAAGGACAGATTCTCTCACCCAACCAGACGCAAGGAAAAATACAAAGAAAAAGTCAGAAAAACATGCAATGCCTCAACAGTCGTAGTAAAAGCAGGAGAAATAGGGTATTGCCGTCAAGATTAACTTGGCTTTCCGCTTCATAAATGCTGTTCTCCTCTTCATTCAATTACGCTGATGATTCCGCAAGCCATCAAGAACAGATTTTGAGTTGCATTAATCATTTAGGGCAGATCCTAAAGCTTCTATCTATTTTTGGAAAGAGGGAATTGAAGTTTGGAAGAGTTTGAAATTTTGAAACTCTTCTGAAACTCCCACCAATGGAGCGAAGAGGCACTTATCCCAAGAGAGAGAAATCTTCTACTGGAGAGAGAAAGACCTCTACTTGAGAGAGGAAGCCCTAGTATATCTTCTTCTCCCTATACCCATCCCCACAGAAATTAGTACTAATATGGCCAATAACAGATGTTACTAGTGCAATGGTCCGAATCACTCCAGGACAACGTAAATCTATGTTTTAATCCTTGTCTTGCTCATTCACAAATATCTAGTCCAAAATTGTGGAATTTTCTGCTTATATGTACTGGCTTTCTTAAGAAGATCCTTGGTTTAATTCAAGGAAATTGTAATGGGTGTAGCCATCAACCATGAAAAGTTCCTACTTTCTTCTAACCTGTCTATCGTTTACTTTGACCTGTCTACTCATTTGATTGAAGTTTAATTTTGTTCATTTTGGTTATTTCTCAGATTTAGATCTGTTGAATACTGAGATTACAGTTCTATCAAAGGGTTAATCATTTATTTTTTCTCTTAAGTTACACATTGCTAATACATTGCAATGGGCCTTGAATATATTTCACATTTTCGAATTGCTTATTCAAAATTGTAGCCAAATGGAACTACTAAATTTGTACAAATAAAAGTGGCTGAGAAAGGATCAAAGGAAAACTACTACTAACTTGCCAAAAAGAAAAAAGAGTTGTGGTCGATGTTTGTTTTGAATTGTCATTATTCCAAATTACAGAGCTAAAGTGCATCAAAATTTTTTGAACAAGCAGTCTGTTTGTTTCGTTGCAAAATATTTTTTCAGAAAATGTTTCTGGTGTTTGGAGACCATTTATTTTGGGAGAAAATTTATTTACTAAAATGTTTTACCCCAACGGATGGAAAGTAACTTACCTTGAAGCATTACTATAGTTTTTTTTGTGAATTCGCAATTTTTTTATTGATCAAAGCATCGAATGAGGTTTGCCACCTGTACAAATCCAAAAGATTTACAGGGAAGTATAGGTCTATCAGCATAAAAAATTAGGAATTACTGATCTACTGAATTACTATCTACAAATTTAGAGGTTGGTAACCTAAGCTCTGCAGTCAATTGTCGATTGCTAGGAGTAGTAGCCACATTTCTTCAGCCAGAGATGATTCCTCTCATATCGCCAAGTACTTGATCACCAAGTATTTAGTTTTGCTTTCCCTATATCTGTGGTAACTAATGATACAAAAAATCTAGATGAACATTCAACTCTGGTCTATGAGAAGGATCCTTAACTGGCAAGATACAGGGCAGATTGTGGTAGAAGTGAAAGTCATTTGGTTGAGGTTGATTTTGGTTACTGTGATAGGTGAAGTATGCATACCAATATGTGAAAGCATATTTTGGCTCTCTGCATCCCTGTGATGAAATCTTGTTTTATGTTATATATTTTTAAGAAATCCTTTGATTCTCATTTTTTTTCCCTTTTCCTTCTAGCTCCTTTATTTGAAAGTACCTGAAGGAGCAGAATATATACAGAAGATTGAAGGGACAATAAAAACAAATCAACGAACTTTTGGACCATGCACTGAGGATGTGATAGTCTTCTTGGATTGCTGGCCTGCATCAAATTCCTCAGTGGGGAAAGCCCTCAAGTTGCTGGTATGGTTCTTGAACTGAAACTTCCTGTGGGTAGATCATCTAGTGCTATCTCAGTCATTGGAGGCTTAGCATGAGCTGTTTATCCTTTCTGCATTTTCTTCTTCTGATCCGGTTCTGAGCAGATACGCCCCGGATTCAAGTGTCGTAGTTTACCAGCCTGACATCACTGCCAGGCTTGATTTCCTCTCATCACATTTTGCAATGGGTGCTGTTAATGTATCTTCTTCAGTGGGCAGAGACTCAAAAGCAGAGCGGGTTCCACTTATTAGGTTAGATAAACTACCACTGTTCTATTCGTATGTTCAATCAGTTCAATGCTAGTATAACTTTTCATGTTTCTCAGTGCAGTTTTTGGAGCTTCCCAATTCTTTGATTTGACAAGTCATGCATTTGTGAATTCACCATTGTCTATCAAACTTGTTTCTGTAATATTCTGATGTTCTTATTTCCTTCAATATTTCATAATGTTTATTATCAATCATCCCAATTTCTGAAATTTTCTGTAATATGGCCACAGATTTGTGTGATCCTTACAACCAGCTGAGCACAAAAATATATGCCAGGTACAGTTTTCATCCCAGTCAAATAACTGAATGACCCGACACTTTCTTTTCCCTTTTTTCGTGTTCATTTTGAAATCCCAAGAATGCAGTATGCTATTGCAACCTTGTTGTGTAGAATTTTGCCCCTTTTGTTCCTTTTCCCCTTTTTTATTTTTTATTTTTTACCATCTAGATATATGAGTTTGTTCCTGCTTATCACTGTTTTTTATCCAACCATTGTTCTTTTTTTTTCTCTCTCTCTCTCCAAAAAAGTTCCTTTTATTCAAATAGGTCGAATGAAAAGTTCAATGTTCATTTCACATCTCTAGAGTTTAACGTTAAAAAGTTACAACAGAGAATCAAGGAACCATCTAACAAGTTGTCGAGCCTGTGCAATAATAAATACCTGCTCAAACAGAATATAATTTCTATAGATAGTGATAAGTAGGGTCGAATTCAGAGGAATTGGGGATATTTGTCTCTTTTGAAGTTCAAACTAACAATGGAGGGTATTTTTTTTTTAGCAATGGTAATAATTAAACGGTTCGAATAAAAATAAATAGCCGACTAAAAATTAAATGACAAATTATTAAAATCAAATTAACAATAACTAAGCTCTAGTCAAGAAATAACTTTGGCAATGGTTCACCTAATTGATTATCGATGCAAAGGTAGTTCCAATTATTAACTAATAAATAAGTTATAACTGTCAAACAAGTAATGACAGTTAACTCCTCCTTACTGTGTCGGTGATTAAGGTATGCCCCTTAATCACTATCCTAATTGAGAAATAATCCTAGGTATGCTCGCAAGATTTAATTCCCCAATTACTTTATGTATTAGAGGAACCCTATTCTAACCAAATAATACGCTATCAGGGTTATTTTATATTGGCCCGCGTATTCCCCTAACATAAACCCAATTATGCCGTTGCCACTATTTTAGAGTAATTAAACAATTACAGATTTAATGCTCCAATTAACATTAGGTTGCCAAATTAATTTAACGTCCGGGCGCAAGATATTCAATTAACAAAACAACCATAAGCACTACAATCAGAGAATATACAAATACTAGTAAATAAGATGAATAAATAAATTAGTTCGATCTCACAATTTTTAGATGAACCAAAGCCTCAATTGTTCCTTGACTAGAAAACGGAGATTTAGCTACGCATCCTAGAAGAAATTCCGCATGACTCCATTGAATCTGCTTGCAATTGGTTTTTTTCTCTCAACTAATGAAAAGCAAGAAGAATCCAAAGGCCAAGCGGCCGTCCTCCCCAAGGAGTCACGATTCTCCCCCCTTATATTTGTTCCCTAGCCGAGATATATATCAAACGGGAATCTGACTTCCCTTATTCTTTGTTTCCTACTTAATCTCAATTACTAATAATAAGATATGTTTCCCAAAATATAAAAATGAAACTACTAAAAATAATATTCCAAGTTTCCTAATCCAATACTAAGACTAATAATGAAAATTAAAATCTTCAAAATCTTACTCCAATACTGCCTTGAATTTGATTCTGACTTGGAAACCGGTTCCAAATGTGCCGCCATCAAATTAATTTTTGTCACGTTTTGCTTTTTTCCTATAATTAGCACCATTAACCAAATATAAGTAGAATCCATCAATTAAGGCAATATTTGATAAAATAAAATAGGGAAATAATCATAAAATTAATTACAAAAATGGAACCTATCACCATCTGCAAATTCTCTTTTGAAAAGCTTAACCAAAAGGCACTTTCCAATGAAGAATTACAAAGATTTCGGTATTAATTATTGGATGATAAATGCTGTGTAGAAATAAATTAAACCCCACTGCAAATTATTTTTAATTTATCACTACCAACAACTATCGTCAGAAGGAAACCATAATTGGTGCAACATCCAAGTATAATGATCAATTAATGCAATTGTTGAGATTTTTTTTCCCTGATTGGAAACGGGCAGAGGAGCCAAATACCACATGGCAACAGATGGACACAGTGGAGCTAAGAGGAAAGAGAAGCTATTGCCGAACCTACAGATACACAAGCAAACCTGTGATTCAATATGGTTAGCGTCATATTGTAGAATACTTTTGTGCCTCTTGAGAATGTCATTGGATTTGCTGTTTTTCCTAATTTCTTTTGTTTCTTCGAATTCTATCCTAAATTCTATTGTTGTTCTGATCAAATTCAGCCTAACAAGCCATGCAACTTCGATTTGAAAAATTTTATGCTTGTCTTGCAAATTTTTGACGTGTGAATGCACTCAAATGTCATCGCTACACTAAGTGCTCTGCGAATATCAAGTAGGTCAAGATGCACGTCCTTAAATTCAGCTTGAAATAGAAGTAATCATGTACAATTTGCTTGATAAAGTTGTCGTAAGGAGTTCTCCTGCTGTTACTTGTAATGATTTTCAACAGACCACATAATGTGGTGAGTGTTGCGGAAGCTCTACCAAATTAAGGTATAACGAGTAAATTATTGTACCTAAAATTGCAAAATGGTAATTCTCAGGAAATATTTGGTGAGGCAAACTGGCCTGCTTAAGTACCGATTTCCTAGACAGAATCACCTTATATGCAATTAATTGCACAATAACTCACTACAAATATACCTACAAATATAGCTACTAAATAGACAATAAAATAAAACACCAGAATTTAACGAGGTTTGGCTAATTTGCCTACGTCCTCGGACACTATCGACAACTTAATATTTCACTAGAAGAAATATTACAAAGAGAGAAAAGGAAGCAGGTTATAATGCTCTTGCTTGGTGTACTTAAATTGAGAAGAGAGGTTGTTAATTTATAGCTAACAACAACTTCTCCTCAAGGCTAATCAACCGATGTGGGTTTTGGAATTTGTGCACAATTGTCAACAATTGTAGCTCTGCATAATTGTCAACAATTGTAACTTTGCACAATCAATAATTGTGGCTATTGAGCCAATAAGTCAACAAATCTCTACCTTGGCGAAATCTCTACATTTTCAATGCTTCACTCTTCTCCCAACATTCGGTGGTGTCTTCAAATGCGCCGTCAAGCGCCAATCTTCAAGTTATGCACAACATTTATCAAATTCAAATAATGTTGGAATTTGATAGTTGTCACAACCTTCGTAAGCATATCAGCAGGATTTTCCTTGGTCTGAATCTTTTGAAATAGTATTGTACTATCTTCCAAAATCTTCCTCACAAAATGATACCGTACGTTGATATGCTTCGTCCTTGCATGATAAATCTGGTTCTTTGCTAAATGAATAGCACTCTGACTTATCACAATGAACTTTGAAAGGCTTCTGTCTGATTCCCAATTTATCAAGCAACCCATGAAGCCAAATTGCTTCCTTAACAGCCTCCGTAACTGCCATATACTCCGCCTCTATAGTAGACAAAGCAACCGTTGACCGTAAGGTAAATCTCCAACTGACTGGTGCCTTAGCAAGTTTAAACACATACCCAGTCGTTAATCGACGTGTATCTTGATCACCTGTGTAGTCGGAATCACAATATCCAACTGCGCCTTGACCAATCTTCTCATCCCGCTCAAATACTAATCCAACATATACAGTGTTCAAAATGTATTGTAAAATCCATTTCACAACCTGCCAATGCTCCTTGCTAGGATCATGCATGTACCTGCTCACAACTCCAACTGCTTGTGAAATGTCGGACCTTGTACACACCATAGCATACATCAAGCTACCCACCGCATTTGCATACGGTACCTTTGCCATATATTCTCGTTCTGCATCATTCTTTGGAGATAACGATGCACTGAGCTTGAAATGAGGAGCAAGTAGAGTACTAACAGGTTTAATCTTTTCATTCATGCCAAATCTCTTTAATACTTTACTAAGATACTCTTTTTAAGTCAAATAAAGCCTCCCCAATCTTCTATTTCTGCTTATCTCCATGCCGAGAATCTTCTTGGCTTCGTCAAGATCCTTCATTTCAAACTCTCGACTCAAATAAGATTTTAATTTTTCAATCTCACCTTGATCCTTGGAAGCTATCAACATATCATCAATAAAAATAAAAAGGTATATGTAGGATCCATCTCGTAGCTTGCGCAAATATACACAGTCATCATATTTGCTTCTTGTGTACCTCTGCCCCATCATAAACTTGTCAAATCGCTTGTACCACTGCCTTGGAGACTGCTTCAATCCATACAACGATTTGTCAAGCTTGCACACCATCTTTTCTTTATCAACAACTTTGAATTCTTCTGGCTGAGTCATGTAGATTTCCTCTTCCAAGTCACCATCTAAAACGCAGTTTTTACATCTAATTGGTCAAGCTCTAGATCCAATTGTGCTACCAAAGCTAATAAAATTCTGATGGAGGAATGTTTCACGACTGGAGAAAACACTTCGTTGTAATCAATTCTCTCTTTTTGAACGTAGTCTTTAGCCACCAATCTTGCTTTGTAGCGAACACCAGACTTGTCAGGAAATCCTTCTTTCTTTGCATATACCCACTTGCACCCAATTACCTTCTTTTCCTTTGATAGATTGACAAATTGCCAAGTCTGATTCGTATAAAGGGACTGCATTTCTTCTTCCATGGTTGTCCTGCATTTTCCTTTCTCTGAACTTTGAAAAACTTCAAGATAAGTGGTAGAAATTTCATCTATTGCAATTGCAGATGCATTAGCCATCATATTAACATACCGAGCAGGTACTTTGATATTTCTCTTTGGCTTA